TATATATATATATATATAAAGTGTAAAATCCTTTGTCCGAGGTACAATGTCTGCTTTGATTTTAATACTTCTGAGATCTACGATGTGAAGATTTTCCGGTTCACATCGTGAAAGTAGCCAACAAAATTGCATCGTATAAGTGCAACGTAGACAACCAAATTTCTGCTAACCCAGCAACACACACACCGGAAACAGCCTCATGGTGTGGACCCTAATGATGGCGCACATTGAAAGCAGCTGTATTGTGACTTTTGTCTCAGCTATATATAGTTTAGCTGACTGTGAGCTAACAAAATAGGTGCCACCAATGAGTGTAGATAAGGGACACACCTTAAAAAAGATAAGGTATACTCCAGACGTAAACAGGGTACGTGTGTCTTTTTGTCAAGCCAAAATGCACGTTGGATATAGCTTTGCACTGGACCTCTAAACAGAATGCAAAATGGGTGCCTGCACATTGCTCAGCGATCTTTGTATCAGATCGCTGAAACTATATGGATAGTTTTTTTGCCAAAGGCAATGCAACAAATCATACTTTGTATGATGTTTTTTTTAAACGTCTGTAGGACGCCCGAACTCCTTTATTCGTTGTCGTTGGTCACATCGGTTGACTTTTGCTTTTATTTTTTGGCATAATTAATTTTGATCAAAGTAAAGATTGTCACCAGAACACCACAGATATTCACAGCAAAAAGTCCTTTAATGACAGATTGCCATTCAGTACAAGTGCTTTCGGGGTCTCAAAAGTACGCCTTCATCAGGCTCAGAATGACGATGAGGAGGTATTTTTGAGACCCCAAAAGCGCTTGTACTGAATGGCAATCTGTCATTAAAGGACTTTTTGCTGTGAATATCTGTGGTGTTCTGGTGACGATCTTTACTGTACTCTATATGTTCACGGTGCCGTCCGTGGTCGCTACAAGCACCCACCTGCTTCGCAGGTTTATTATTTTTCCGGTAAGGAGTGCTGCTGGATTCCTACTATATTAATTTTGATCAACCGCAGCACTAAAATGCAGGATTGCCTCCAGGCCGCCCCAGGAGCTCTAGCTACAGCCAGCCTCCTTGCTAAGTTTTGAAGTGAACAAAGTGTGGGGCACGAGATTAGCGCTTCAGTTTGCGCTCTCAATATGATATTACCACCAGGATACTTTCTCAGGATCTCTCCTTACAATGTGACAGCGTCCCTGACCTTTGATGCTGCACAATTCTCTCCTTAGAGTAGGGAACTGACCCATTTGTTGTAATCAAAATTCTCCCTGGGTCTCTATTCTTCTTCTGTAAGGTGATGACGGCAGCAATGTTTATACTTGAAAAAGGAGGAGATGAATATGTTATCTGAATGACTTTTTCCTGTTGGAAAAGATCAGCGAGTACCCATAGCTTGCTGATTAAAAAAAAAGCAAAGTTTTTTTTTTTTTCGTAGTATCATTCACTACTCCTATAGATATTTCTTGTATTTTATGTATGCAAGGGAAACATTTAACAAAGCACAGTTGTGGTTTGCCAACTCATTGTATAAGATGTCCTATAAAGTGTCTTGCAACATTTTCATTGGTTTCTTTCTTTATTAGAGAGAAAGAAGCTTCCACATGTATGCTAATCTGTTGCAAACCTTATTGCTTATTGAAGTGGAATACCTCTTCCCCCTCCTGGAAATGTATATGGAACAAATCATGTATCCAATTCTGCTGATGTGTAATTCCCATACTACAGATCCTTGGTGGGATAGTTTTTGTAGGTTGCATCTCCTGCCCTCCTAAAATTTAGAGGGGTGTATGCATACTTTTGGCCCTATAATGTTTATGTCTAACTGCTCTTCTAAGGCCAGAATGACAAGCTAACAGGTAATAAAAAGGTCCTTTTTTAATTTTTGTGTTTTTGTTTTTTGTTAACGGCTGTGGCTGTGGCATTTTGTTAATGGCTTACACCACTGTAAATGTTGATGGGGATAACTGAGTGCTGGATGATCTGAGAAATACAAAAAGCAAGCAAGTGTCCGGCAACGGTGTCAAACTGGAATATCAGTTCGGAGTCAAGTTGGCCTTTAAATACAAATTTGTGTCCTGCGTTCTTGGTGGCTTTACTGTACAAAATACTCCCCACTCCAGAAAGGTATCACTGTATGATTGTTTATCTAGGCTAAGTCCTTGACCACCTTGTCCTCTTATGTGGTACTTGTGTGTATATTTTGTTTATTCAGAGTTAGAGCTACACTAGCCCAGTCTGAAAAGGTGCCATTTACAGATACCCTCTGGACACGTTCCCGTGCAAAATGTTAATTTGTCTAGATAGCAGTTTACAATCCCAGTATTCATTAATAACTGTTTCAAAATTCCTCAGTTATGGATTAGTAATGAAGCTGTGCCTAAAAAAAGCCATATGGTAGATTTGCGACATGCACTTTAAATGTGATGATTAGTTTTGTTTTCCTGAACAGCTAGCTACAAGGAAAGGTAGGCTAGTGTACTATGATTTGCAGGCTATTTCATTGACTCTATACATTTTACTCTAATTGGATTGAGTTCTGTTTATCTTTATCAGTAAGAAGACAAACCTGTCTAAATTGTGCTTATGTTGTTTTGTAGATATGTTATTTTGAAGATTAAGCAGCGGATCTTCAAACCACAGTCTCTAATATGGCAGGTGTCACTGGGTGTCAAGTTTGTTAGAATAGTTCAAAGTGAAATCTTAAATCTGTTAGCAGTTGCTTTTCATGCTCAAGCAACCCAAAAGTTGATGCTGAGGCTTTATCCAAAGGGTTATGTAGTTGCTGCTGTTTAAAATGATTTGCCTCTGGAAATATTTGACTGAACAACTTCAGTGTAAAGGTCTGATTGTTTGGATTTAGATTTTTAGTGTTTTTGGTATGTATTGATGATCCCAATTTGGAAAATGAGGGCACAGTACAATCCCATAGCTGGCGTCTTTAATCAATGTGGTGATAATTGGCTTTATTTATTTAATGAAATTATATTCAGTCAATCATCAGCCCACTGAATAATGATGCCAGTGAAGAGATTGTACCATACCATTCTTCTCCAAGGCAGTAGCATCAACAGTATACCATACCATACCATAGCATAGTAGTAAAGGGGTGGAGTATGAAAGTCGTATGTAA